TGATCCCTCTGTACATCACCTCTTCCATAACAATAAAGTAAATTAATTATAAAATAAATGTCAAAACTTTTCCTCAGAAATTTTTATCTTGGGTTCACCCTAAATACTAAAAATGAATCTGATTGTTACTAAAGAATGCAAATACATGACCATCGCTGGGATTACAAATTCATACCATAATGTATTCTGATCCTTGAAATGGTAAACTGACCATTTCTAAAGAAAAGAAGTACGCCAGGTGCCCGTGGCTCACGCCTGTAATCCCAGCTGTTCAGGAGACTGAGATCTGAGGATCGTGGTTCAAAGCCAGCCCGGGCAGGAAAGACTGTGAGACTCCTATCTCCAATAAACCACTAGAAAACCGGAAGACACACACGTTCAAGTAGAACCAGTAACTTTTGGGTAAAACATTAAGGAAATAGTAAAGCTATTGGGTGGAAATCCTAAATTTGGTGGGTCATAAAAAAAGAAAATTCCACCAGAATGGCTCATTGTGGAAGGACTGATAGAGAATGTCAGCTCAATGAGAATTAAGTCAGAAAGAATATGGCAGAGAAAGACACAAAAGCCCAAGTCTTGTTTGGCCCCAGAAAGTATCCCTCCTCCATCCTTAGTTTCTTTCTACCTATTTTTGTAGCAGGATTTACACATTGTTGGACATATGGAACAAAATTTGCATTAATAAAGTATTTTTGTTAATGGATTAACTTGTACAATGGAAGACTATGTATGTGTGAAGGGAACTATGTGTATTATTTATTTAAAAAATAAATCTAATAAAAGAAGCATGTAGAAGCATTGATACATGGTTGGGTTTCCCTATAGTCTCTTTTAGCATGATATATAAGCAAAGATAGTAGTTCTAACCAAATATGCCACGTCCCTACACTTTTCATTTCCCTTGCAACTATTTCCACAGATATGTGTTTATGTGACCTCTGAACACCTGGAGTGTAGCTCCCCTCCTTTCTTCTCTGTCATTAAACATGAAAGACATTTGTTCAATTAGCAATATAACAAGGAAAACTGGGACCTGCACTCATCACTGTATGATTGAAAAATGGACAACTATGCAGTCAGCCCACCTAATTCCTAGATATATTATATGTGTTTTTGACCAAGCAAGTCAAAACTAAATTGATCAATAAAAATTTCTAAATATTTTTCCTTTAATTTCACATGTTGCAGCTTGGTTGATAGACAGAAGTTCTCAGCCAGTTCCTTGTTATCACCCATTGCGTTGAAATCATTGGAAGATCTAAGTGTTTTCCTGCTCTTAATTCTGTCAAAATCTCTTCCAAAGTAAATGGTGGCCAAAAGAAGGGTGAAAATGTGCTTCATTTAAGTGATAAAGTGAAAAGTTTAGATTTGTTGAAAGGTAGCACATCTTTAGTGGAAGTGGTGTCATATTTATGAGAAAATAAAGCAAGCGAACATAGCACAATGCTGAACTCTATACATTCTAGGCATTCATGGTTTTTCCTTAACAATAGTGTCCTTAGAATCATAAATCCATGGGTACTACTGGCCTATAATACTTTTTTTTTGAGGTTTTAGGGCTTATTTGTTTCTGCAGCATAGCTTGGTATTGATCAGACAATGACCATAGATGAGCAGCTGAATGATTGTGTTATTAAAAAAAAATAGCAGTAAAAAAATAATCAGTGACCTTGAGAATGTTCAGAAGACATTATGAAATTCAAATCCTGAATCCTTATTCCTTTAATCCTTCTACTATTTCAGTCTCCATTTTCTCCATACAAACATGTTGGTTATATTTTCTCCTTTATAACAACTATATGAGTTATCAAAGTAAATTACTACAAACTGAGTGGTTTGAATTAATTCTCTTGCATTTCTAGATGCCAGAAGTCCAAAATCAAACTTTCAGTAAGATTAGGTTCCATATCGACACTGTAATAAATAACCTTTCAAGTGCCTCCCCCCGCTCCTTTTTTAAAATTTCTGGTGATGACCAGTAATCCCTGTCATCCTTTGGCTTACCGATGTATCACTGCTCTCTCTCCCTGTATCTTTGTATTGCTTTTCTTCTAATAACTAAGAATCCCAGGCATACTGGGGTAAGCCCTTAATTTGATTATGTTACAAGGTTCTTCTTGGCAAAGAAGGCCACATTCAGAAGTACTGAGGGCTTGATGTTCAAAATGTCCTTTGGGGAGACACAATTCAACACTCAAAACCAGCTTACAAATAAAATGTCACTTCAGTTTCCCACCTTTATCTTCTGGAAGTAAATGTTATAAATTGAATTTAAACAGCCCTTACTTTTAGTCACCCTTTTAGAAATGGTTTTGTTTCATTTACTGTAACTGTTACCAATTTTTTAAAAAAGAAAAACATAATTTTAGACCAACACTTCAAATTCAAAGATAATTATTTTCTGCACTTACTGAAAATTATGTTACTATAAAAGATGTTCTAATAAGTTTGCACACTGCAGGCAAAATACAATCGTTTTCAGGCATTTCTGTGCCCCTGCCAAGATAAGTGCAAGCAACAGTATGAAGACAAGCTCAGATGGTCAGAAATGGAATGTAGGTCTCCATCCAAATTGTCAGTTCAAGGCCTCTTAGGGTTTTTCTCTTACTAGTTTCCTCTCTTGACATTCAAGACATGGTACATTTCTGGTCTTTCTCTCCTTTCCTCTTTATTATTTCAGTGCTTCATAGTCCTTTGACACCTTTGCTGATATAAAAAATCAAAAGCAGATGAGACAGTGTACAAGCACTCTGAAGACTTTTGCCTCAACTCACAAAGCATGCACTTGAATACACACAAGTTAACGATATCTATATAATCAATACTCATGAAGTCCTTAGGATACCTTGGTGAGTAAATTGACTGTCTTCTCTTGCCACAATTTACATTTTTAAGGGGAACACAATGTTAGAATACACAGACAGCTGGGAGAAGGATTTAATTAGAGTAAACTTGGGGACAGAAAATAGAGAAGTTCAAAGTGGTTTGGAGATTAGCACATGTTTCATGTAATCGTAACAATTGTGTGCATTATTCAGGTTTACATAAGGGTGTTTCAGGTAGTAGAAATGCAGTGGCCTCGGGCTCAGCACTGAGAGACTATGACACATCTCAAATCCAAAGGAAATCAGAATGGCTTTAGATTAGATTATCAAAAATGTGGTGAGCTATAAGGCTGGAAAGAAAGGTTCATGAACCTTATAAATAAGGTATTTATATAATTCATCTCCCAAACAAGCCCTTCTAAGAATAAAAAGAAGGCACTATTATTCATGAAGCTGAGCAACAGGTATAAGCCAGTGCTGTCAGCCTTAAATTAATCACATTGATAGAGCTTGGATTTTATACTAAGGTCAATCAGGTGTCAATACCATATTTTATAAAGAGGAAAGGCTCAATATTATCTTAAGAGGTTCAGCCCACTCCACATATTGCAAACAAGTGAACAAGGCTAAATCAGAAGCAAGAAGGCCCATTAAAAGACATTGTGGTGATTTTTAATCATTGAGATCGTGACGATCTGAATCGTGGTAACAGCTAGGAAACTGTAAGAAAATTGATGAAGTAATATTAATTTAACCACACAAAATTGCTACAATTCACCATTTTGAACCTACAAAAATGGCAATTTTGCAACCTCAAAGAACTGATTTTTTAAAGAAAACTGATTGATCAAAATATTGAACACAATATTATATTAGATGGTAGCAATATGGTGATAATGACAATAATGATGATTACTGCATATTGTCATTATCCAGATCAACAAAGCTGTACATTAGAATTCCAAACACGAAGCACTCAAAATCACTATCTCTAGAGATATCAAGAGAATAAGCGATCATATCTGGATCATGCATAAATAGCACAGGTAGAGAATCATTCCCCCAGAAAACAATTTATGTGAATTCCTTGGGGTTCACAAAGGAGAAAGATGCAGAAAAACTAAGTCATTTGGCCATCTGACCAAACAAAGTAGTCAGTTCAGTTGTGAGATATCACCCAAACAGATCAAAGTGATGGACATAGGGAAGACACTATGGATCAAGTAGAATGCATGGTTAAAGTTAATGCTGAGTTTATTCTGGAGGAAGTGAATCTATGCCAGCAGACGCCTGATCTCCACTATTTGACACACTCAGAGTACACTGCCTATGTTAATAAATCTGGTCAAGATCCAAAATGCATACCACCCTGTTCTGATATCCTGGTGTTACACATGTTCACTCTTGCATGCAAATTCCATCTCAGGAGAATGAACGGGAAGATTCACTTTGAACTAATTTGATTTTAAATAGCAAAGTTGCCAAAAAAAAAAAGCTACTTTATTGGGATGAAGTTAACTGAAAGAATCTAGATGAAGTTGCATACCCTAAGGAAACTTGAGGCTCAGAGTTGTAGATTAAATTCTAAACTAAGAATTTTTAAGTACAACTTTGTCACAACACTGTGAATAGTATGACTTGTTAGGTACAATAGGGATGATGATGAAGAAAATTCTTTGGTTTCTGGCTGGACAAAGATGTGGGTGACTGATTTCTAGGTAATGTACATTGGAGGAGAACTGAATTGAAGTAGAAGATAATAAGTTGTTTGACATGTGATAAATTATCATTTCAATTTTTCAGTTTCTTTTTTACTGACCACAGATATATTTTAAAAAAACTTTCAGCTAAACACAACCCTTACTGGTGTAAAAAAAATATGTTCATTATGGGAAATTTTACCTTAATCTCTGTACTAAATTTTTTCAAATATTTTTGATCAAGAACAGAAGTCCTACTTCACTGTTAAATTATAAATTTAGAAAACTTACAGTAACAATGGTAGTGTTTGGGTAAACATCATTATATTATTAAAAATAATTACCTTTCCTTACTTCTGGAAATTTCATCTACAAGCATACTCTTAAAATCAAAAAGTACAAAACAAGGAGCACTTGTGTTTGTGTGTATGTGTGTGTATGTGTGTGTGTGTGTGTGTGTGTGTGTGTGTGTGTGTGTGTGTGTGTGTGTGTGTGTTTTAATTTGTAACAAAACCTTACAGACAGGTACAAACAGTAAATCCTCTTTGCAACCCAGAACTCATTGCTGGTATGAAATTTTGGTACATGGAAGAAGAAATATGATTTCTACAACATTTGGCATTGTTAGGGTTTGTTAACACACAGGTTGCTCTTGAGAATAAAGTTGACTTAAAAGTCAAAAAAAAGTATAAAACAAAAGCTACATTTTCTCATCACATTCTGCTTACCAATACCACTCTATAACAATAAGTATAAAGTAAAGACAACCAAGAGAAACTGGAGAATAGGAAGATTTATTTTATTTTATTATCTTTAGATGTACAAGGGGGTTTCAACTCAACATGACGATCTATGTGCACAATGTTTCTTGATCTAAATTGCCCATTCTATCCTTCTCTCCCTATCTGTCCAAACCCTACCTATCCTTTAAAGTTCCCTATTTCCATTTTAATATATGTACATTGAGTATTGTGACTATATTATCCTATCAGTCCTGTAAAAAGTCATTTAAAGGGAATTAGCAGAAAAGAAAAAGAAAAATAGATGTAAAAATTAGAATAACACTTAAATTTGCACACAGAAAAGGAGTTGCAGGAAACTCAAATTTTCTGGAGAAGAAGTGTGCACATGTTAGTCTGTGTTCTCATTTCACCTTCCTATGGTTCCATATACAATCTGTGAGCCCCAAAGCAAGCAAGGGGAACATTTTTCCACAGAGGTTCAGAAGCAATGGATAAAGATATTACTTTAATTTAGGTTTTGTGGCATAATGGACAGAAAAAAGAAAGTAAAATGAAAAAGTAAATGACTTTCAGTTGTAAGCTGAAAATACAGAACAAACTTCTACACAGCAAAAATCAAAGAGAATCAATTCTACATAAAATAAACTTTATTAAATTCTAGGGTGGACTGATAGAAAATTCTTCTTTATCTCTTGTTTACATATGCTTTATTTACGTATTATTAAGACATTTTTGTTGGCCTTTTTTCACATTCACACACACATACGTGTACGTACACTGGTTCTCTCTACCTTCCCAGTCACAGGTTTCAATTTCATGTTCTAAAAATAGGAAGGATAGTAAGATATATTGAAGAGAAGAAAAATAAATATAATAAAAATGACTATGAAGACTAAATAAGATTCAGGTGGACTGAGCTATATATAAGGGGGAAATCCTAAAATCAAATATAAAGATTACATTCTTTTAAAAAAAGTTAATACTTCTCCCTTATCCTAAACCTAATGCTTGAATGTTTTCATTCTCTATACCTCATGCCAACAGATTCAGTCTTAAAGATCTTACCATTTGCATTGTAACTTACATAAATCATTCTCACGAAAACAAAGAACAGATACAGCTTGAGAAACAATTGGTTTTAGATTAAATGACTGTTCAGTTGAATGCTTAAATGGAAGAGAAGCTATGTGGGTATATTCTGGTTCATTCCTAGCTATGAATCATGGGTTTACTTCATAGTCAGCAGTGCAATGACACTAAAAGCTTGTCTGAGCTGTGGGATGCCTCTGAATTTCTCCATGTCTTCATTATTCAAGAATTAGTTCCCTAAAGAAAAAGACCTCAAGGTTCTGCACAGCCAGATTCTAGCATAAAACATAGTCACTGGATTAGGACAATGCAATTGTAACAAAAGAAAAACTTGAAGTAGTAATTATTTTACAAAAGTAGTATTCAACTGGCATGACCAATTACAAGAGCATTTCTACCATTTCACAAAGAGCCAATACCCGGTTAGGTAGGCACATATTAGAAGCATAATATTTCAACTATCAATTGTTTCAGTTGCTAAAATTAGAATTTATAGTTAACATTCTATGAATTACATTTTCTCTAGAGTGCATACAAAGCCAAAGAATGGGTCTATAAATCAATAGAATTTAAGTTTAAAAAGAAAAAAAATGGCTATGGATCAAAATTTCTGATCTCCATCCTTATACCCACCATGGCCACTGGAAATTTTGTCACTTGGCTATTATCTGCCCAAGGAGGGCCATGAAAGCACTATGGAAACTTGACATGGTAAGCAAGACAATCCCCACAGGAGTCAAACTAGCTGCAAAGAAGAATGATACAGCAGTTAGATAACACAATACCAGCCAACCTGTCAATAACACAGCATCAGGCACAGGTGCAATTAAATACCCGAATTTCAATGAAAATCATACTTAATTTTTTTCACAATAGTGACTATTTAATTATAACATTCATCTTATTTTGGAATTAAAAAGAAGACAAACTCTCTCATCATCCGTACTTGATGGACTAGGGCCAAATTATTGAGTTTATTCTTGATCCCATTCTCTAATTGAGATCTTTCCACAAGGAACAATTATAGTGTTCACTACAAATACCCACTTAAAGACTTGGTTTTTATATTGTGGCCTCAGAGGTCCATTTTTAAGCTATAAAATAGCTGGTAGACTATCTACTTACATAAACAACATGCCAAATTGTGATACAATTCTTGTCAGACAATGTATTTCTCACTGTTTAAGTAATACTTCATGGAGTGGAGTTATACAAGACATTTGCCAAGTTTACCTGCCGAGAGACACACTTCAATAGTTCTCACCCAGCGGGATGGCATTTATCATTATTCAAATTTAGCAGAAAAGAAAAGGTTCCGATGTTTTTGACATTATAACTGGCTTCTGGTAAACTGCTGTTAAGCACCACTATTCAGGGGCTGCGCTAGTCCAGCACAATTGGAAGACATCTTTCATGCTGGTCCACAAAATACTAAGAGAATTTGAAGCGCTCTGGGGAGAATTCCATCCTTAAATATTGTTTTGTACTCTCCTAACTTCAAAGACAACCACAGGCCAATCTACAAAGCACATTAGCAATTAAAACAAGTGGAAATATGTGTGTATGTGTGTGTGTTTTAAGGAAAGTAATGATGCTTTTCTATTTGCCTTCTGTCTTTATTCATGTGTTTGAGTGAAATGTTTACAACATGGTTTCTTTTTCTTGCTTTCTTTATGTTTTTTAACTGACAGACAAAATTGTAGGTATTTATTCTGTAAAGCCTAATGTTTTGGAGTATGTATACATGATGGTTAAATGTTTTGACAAAGGCAAATACATGTGGCTTTCAGCACTTGGCCAAAATTGAATAGATAACTATTATACTCAAGCAAAAGTCCATGTGAAGCTCAAGTATTTCAGGTTAGAAAAGCTATTCTCCCATTCAACCTAATCTTTTTCATCTAATAGGTCTTACAACAAACTACTCCATGCAGAGCTACTTATAAACAGGTCTACCTAATTGTTTTAAGTACTATGGCATGTCCTTAAGATTAGTAATGTGCACTAAGTATAAAAATATTTGGGGGAAAACAATTTTTATTGGTGATAAATTAAAAAATTGGATGCTATAAAGGAAACATACAACTGGGCACTGGTGTCTAGCTACTCAGAAGGCTGAGAACTAAGGATCATTGTTCAAAGTCAGAGTGGGCAGAAAAGTCCTTGTGAGACTCTTCTCTCCAATTAACCACTCAAAAACTGAAAGTGGGGTTGTGGCTCAAGTGGTAAAGCATTTGCTTTAAGTATAAAGAGGCTCAGGAACAGCACCTAGGCCCTGAGTTCAAGCCTCACAATCAATAAAAAAAAAAATAAAGAAAAAGAAGACATGCATAGGTTCCATAACCATAAATGAAGACATGCATAGGTTCCATAACCGCAAATGCTGTTATGATTAACCCACTCAGTTTTGCTTGTCAGTCTTTTTAGAGAATTTGCTATCTTCATCTTAAGACACAAGTCAAAGAATCATCTGATTGGCACATGTATGTGTCAAGTATCACACACACACACACCTACACACACACACACTGCTTATAAGACTCTTCTAAACATAGATGTCCAAGAAAGTTGCGTTCATTATCTACCTAGGACGTACACCTTCAAACCTTAAGCCCCAAAATTAAAATGCAACTGCAGCAAGTTCTTCTTTTGAAATGAATATGGTTATTTTAAAATTAGCTATGCTTGAGATTGGGAAGCTGCTTAGTCTAGTCTCTCAGCAGCCCTGAGCCCAGGAGCTATGTTGAACTTGAATATATATACATATATATATATATATATAATGCATATATTATAGAGGATTATACTCTTAAATTATACAGGTCAGCCCTCATGCTAAGTAGTGTTTCATTGCTTGCTGATTTTATCTTTCACTTGTCTAATAAGCATGCATCCACACATTTGCTAAAATGCAAAATCAAATACCCCTCAATACTATTTAAATTGCATTTAGCCAAGGTTTGAAATATCACATTAATACAACACCCCCAGACCATGGCTTTTTGGAAGCTGTGACCATAAAACAACAAAATCAAACTGTGAGCTATATAGACCTATTTATAAGATGAAAATGCAATCTTTTTATTTAATAAGTATTTACATTGGAAATTATTTCAGTTAACCACTTTGAGGACAATAAAGGTATGGGGATATAAATTTTCCTCTTCCACGTTCCCATAATATTCTCCCCGCTGCTAATTTTACTCTGAATTATCCTAGTCCATACAGCAGAGGAAAACAGCTGCATTTAATGACACCCACACATACTCTCAAAGATATCTAGATGAAATTTTGGCTGTGAATTTGAATATACACATACAGTCTTTATAACAGATGAGTTTTCTTTTCCCTTGCAAACAAACCTCAATTATAAACTCATTTAATTTAGATTAACTATGTGCCAAGGTAATTCCATTACACAAAAATGTGTTGATGTCTGGTATATTCTGACTATATTTTATTGTTAATAAGCACTATCTAACTTGCTTTGAGAGTTTAACACTGGTTGTTTTACTGCTACAGTTGTGAATTTAAGAGAGACAATACCCACAAATCAAATCGGGAAGTAGAAATCTAGCAGCTTTAGTTACTATGTTGCAATAAACTACAAGTACATCATCCTTAAAAGAAATCTCTAGCTAATAATAAGTAAAACCATATTATGAATGACATCTAAACAGGAAATAAAAAAGCTTAAATGCATAGTGGTATTTTTCATTTATGAAGAGTAATAAGAATTCTAGGTCATTAATGAAACTGATCTCTTTTCA